CCCTTCAGATACTGGAAGGTTGCTATGAGGTCTCCACACAACCTTCTCTTCTCCAGGCTGAACAGCCCCGACTTCCTCAGCCTGTCATCATAGGGGAGGTGCTCCAGTGCTCTTGTCAACTTCATGGCCTATTCTGAACTCACTCCAACAGTTCCATGTCCTTCTTACACTGAGGGCACCAGAACTGTGTGCAGTATTCCAGGTGAGGTCTCATGAGAGCAGAATAGAGGGGGAGAATCACCTCCTTTGACCTGTTGCCACACTACTTTGGATGCAGCCCAGGATTCATTTGGCTTTTGGTGATGGATTTTTTTTTTTCATTCAGTGGCTACAGTTGCAGGCTAGTTTATCAATTAATATTATTTTTATTCTGCATTTAGTAGAACAAAAAAAACCCCAAACCCCCAGCATTCACACAGTGTGTGTGTAGCTGCTTGTGTGAGGTACCCCTAGGATTTTCAGAGCCGCAGCTGGGAGGATGTGAGGTCCCAGGCTGAGCTGGGCATGGGCTGCAGCAGAGGGCACAGTGACAATAACTACTCTGTTTGCACTTCAAGTCGCTCAATAAATTCCTTTCTTTAAACAAACGGCTCGGGAATCCTGCTGTATTACTTACTGCTCGCTGCCTGGTGGCCTAATCCCCAGTGGTATGGAAACGAGCTCAGGCTTTCTGCGGAGGCTCCAGTGAGCTTAGCGCTCTCTGCTCCCACCGCCCCTGCCTCGGGCTCTGTCGCCGCTCAGTAGTCGCGGCAGGTCCCTAGAGGCGCTGCGATCCTCAGGGTCCTGCTCGCCCTGGGGCTGCTGCCGGGGGCGAGCTCAGGTCTCCGGGGTGAGCTCCGGCTAGCGCCGCGGGAGCTGCGAGGCACAGGCAGCGCATCCCCATCGGAGGAGGGAGGCTGTTCCCTGAACATCCTCGCAGCATCATGACTCTCCAGGTAAGCCGTTCTGCGCCTGGTGAGACGGAGACGCGAGGTGAGGAGAGGGAGGGATGCGCTGTCCATCTGTGCTGGGCACTGCGGTATTGCATCAGCGTTAAGGATTCTTACTGCAAAATCAACGTTACCACGCGGCAAGGGGAAATTTACCTAAACCCTTGGAGGTTAAATAATGCACTGCTTTTCTTAAGTGGAGGGTGAGAAACATGCTGGTTATTTTGTACTGTTCATAACTCATGTAATTTTTTTGAGCCTTATCTGTTTAAAGCGCGCGTGAATTCTTTTACTTTATGCGTCTGAGGTTGCTAGGACAGGGTCAGGCATTGAAAGGCAGCTACATACTTAGGTTTTTAGGATCTAGCTGTTTACTTGGAGCTTTAAAAGGAGGAGGGGAACTTCTAGCACCGAAGCAGTGGTATATGTGCATTTGGGAAGCAAGAATAATTTTTAAGGGAGTTGTGTGTAGGTTTTTAGGGTGTGTGCATCTTTGAAGTGGTCCGTTTTGAGGGGCTTTTGTAGGAAAGCTTCTACTTTCTACCTTCTGGCTCGAAAGAGAGCTTCCTTCTACCTTCTCTCTGACTATAGCTTTAAATAATTCTTGAGGAAATTATCTTCATTTCTGGCTTTTAGCCTCCTGCCTTTATGGGAAACTATGAATACTTCCCTTGTCTTGCCCATGCCCTGATGGATTAGGCTATTTTTCTTTGTTAGACTTTCTATTATCCCTTTTACTTCAAGACTTGCAAGCCCTTTTATCCCGGTCTCATTGTAATGTCTGTCTCGGCTTGGTTAGTGTGTGTGTGTTTTGCAAAGAGTGAGCAACATAATGCTCTGACCTAGATGCAGGGAGCGCGTTGCCAGTAGCTCAGCAATTTTCTTCTGAGCTGCAATTACATTGAATAGCATAGAGCTTTCATTGTGGTGTTTTACAGCTAAGAAGAAGAAACCTATTTCTTCAGAGGGTCAGAATTGCCAAATCCTACACATAATGCCACCTTTGTTTAATTAATGATCACCCAAATTACAGTTGGTTTTATTCTGCCCTGTATTCACTTTAGAAAATGAATTTATTAGCGTAATGATTAAGCAATGAGCAAGCTTGGTGCAGTGTGATATGCCATTCCATTGCTGTATGCAGTTACACTTTCACATAAAAATCAGTGGTTGAAATATTACTATATCCTACGCATTTTGCGTCAGACATTGCAGAGGTTTTCTATCCACTTTGGTTTGGTTGACAGCTCCCATCCATATCCATAAAGATTTGTTGAATCAAGCTGTATGGGAATGGAGATGAATGAAATAATGTTTTCATCAGGAAGGCTGTAAAAGATTTATTAGTTTTGCGAACTAGTAAGATATTCTGCTATGTAAATCAAGAAGTCATTCAAGCTTTTTCTTTGCAAAAAGGGAATATATGATAATAGTCTGATAATCTGTGCATTTATGCTTAATGCATGTGTGTGTGTGTTTATGTCTGTATATATTTTCATGTTTTTAGTTTGAGGAGCTTTAGGGAATTTTATCAGCACATGGCTAAAAGGAAATTATATTTTTATAGGTTGCTCGTAAGCATGTTGTGTAAGCAGGCAAATCCTAAGCAACAGTCTGTGCACAATGATTGGCTAGAGGGGGATGAAGAAAGAAATGTTTAGTATTTAGATTTCATTTCCACATGTTTCTTGCTCTGTAAGATATGCATTTGCATATTTTTAAACAGGATCTTCTGATACTTGCCTATAGATGCAAATAGAATAAAACTATATGAAGATAAGTTTATTAAGGTAATGGTTTGCTTAGTTGTTTTTTTTTAACGTTTTGTCTTGTATAATCTAACAGTGTTTCTGGTTCATTCTTACTTTGAAGTTGTTGTGGCTAACCCCAGCCAGCAAATAAGTGCCATGCAGCCACTTGCTCACACCCTGATACCCCACGGTGGGATGGGGAGGAGATTTAGACGGGGGGGGAAAGTAAAAACTCATGGGTTGAGATAAGAATAGTTTAATAATAAAACAAATTAAAATATAATGCTAGGATAAAAGTAATTAAAAAAAAGAGAGAGAGAGAGCACACACAATAATACCCAGGAGAAACAAGTAACACACAACACAGTTGCTCACCACACACTGACCAATGCCCATCCCATCCCCGAGCTGCAATTGGCCCCTCCCAGCCAACTCCCCCCAGTATGTATACTGGGCCTGACATCCCTTTGGCCAGTTAGTGGCAGATGTCCCAGCTGTGCTCCCTGCCAGCTTCTTGTGCCCCTCCTCGCTGGCAGAGCACCATACAGTGAAAAGTCCTTGACTCGGTGTAAGATCTACTCAGCAACAACCAGAACATTAGTGTGTTATCAACATTATTCTCATACTGAATCCAGAACAGGGCACTGTACCAGCTGCCAGGAAGAAAATTAACTCTATCCCAGAGAAAACCAAGACAGAAAGAATTCAAAGCACACGGAAGATTTTCAATGGAGCTTATACATCAGTGCTGGCTGAGGTTTGCATGCAGTAGTAACTTATTTAAACTTAAATCAGTTGTGCCAACCCAGTTATGTTTTATGATTGATACAACTTTTTAGTCTTATAGTTAGCAATGGTGCTTTTGTTTGCACATGTATGAATAATATTAAGAGAGATTTCTGTGATGTAGGAGCCAGTGATAGGTATAATCAAGAATGTCACATTACTAGTGTTTGGATGAAGAACAAAATATTTATTTCTATGAAATTTTACCTATTAAAAATCCTAAGAGTGGTGGGTAATCACATTTATTTTCATAAGCAAACATACATCTGTACCAACAGCCTGAGTGTAAATGCTTTGCTTTTAGGAGTGTCAAAGCTACACAGTTCCAGTTCCTGTCAGCCACTATTTTTAATTCAGTGGTAAGGTAGTTGCATTGCTGGTTTTGTTTCCCCTTGTTAAATGCTTCTCCATGATAAATGCTGTACATCTATTAAAAATACTGTTGTTAGTGCATAGGAGGACATGCTTTTGTGCAAAGAGGCTAGTCTTGCTACCTAAATACAGTACTCCTTCATATCCTGATGCTGTGGTGTCTGAAACACTGCTCAGCAGCTTGGCACGACTGCAGTGACTCTGGGGTAGGCTGGGATGTACACTCAGAGCATGTGAGTTCCTCTGCAGTACGTGCCCGTGTCCTTGCCTCTGCCCTGAGGTAACACCAAGTGGAAAAGGCCTATTTGCATGGAGGGATAAGCCACCTGCCTGTGTGCCAAGGTGTATGGTGAGGCAAAAAGTCATACAAGCAGTCTGGTTTTGCTTCTGAAAGGAAGGATAGTGTAAAATACTTACTTTCTACAGCCCTCGGCAATTTTTGGTGAAAAATTAAAAATGAGCTTAACATCTGAACTTGCTGAAGCGTTTCAGGTGGTTGCAGGACATCCAGGTACAGTTACCCTGCAGAAGGAGAACAACAGAAAATACCACATAGAGAAAAAAATTAAGATTACAAGGCTTTCGTGAAAGCAAATATTAATATTACAAAAAGGATGCTGAGAGGGATTGCTGTAAGGTCATTTCAATATTATTGATTCAGCTTTTATATATAGTCTGGTGCAGCTGATTTTGGTGTATCTAAATTGCATGTATATACATAATATATGAACATATTCTGAGCCTTTTAGGTTTTAATTCTAGAAAAATCCTGTATTTGTCTTGCAGCGCTGCCAACTATTCAGATGGTTAAAAAAACCCCATAGTGTTTAGTTCTTAAATTGGACAGAAAAAGTTGGGCATAAAGCTTCATGTTTTTCTGTGATTCTGCAGTATAGTTGCAATTTAGTAATATTGAGATTAGTTTTATTAGACCAGGGACAAACTGCATAAGCAGTTATGTGGTTTCAGTCTATAAAGTTTTAGATTTCAGAATACAATTTGGAAGTCATTTGATTCAGAATTTATTGCAGGAACTCTGCTAAATTGTATGCTTTATCGAATGACTGAGTTTCAGAGCTTAAAGCAGAGAAATGGCACTTGGAATCTGGTTAATTCTCAGAAGGATCATTATATTCATTTCTCAGAAATTATAAAGGCTGTTTTAACACACCAGCTGTTCTCTGTATTCCTGCATCCACTCCTAGGTATCTGGCTCTGGGAGGCATTGGTGGGAATCTCCTGGAAACTTCTGCTTGTCAATTATGCAAACAGTGAGGTTCTTGCTGAGTTGCAAGATTATTTGTTAAGAAGTATCTGCATTTCTGCAGGATCTTTGTCTAAAGAGCTTTCCTTCCATTGCATTTTTCCGGGTGCTATGATCTGAGAGAGCTAGAGTTGTGGATTATCATCACAAACCCTTCCCATTGAATGTTCTGTCAATTTATAGCTGCAGTTTAAAGAAGATTCAAGATTTATTTTTAATTGCTGGTTTGCAGGAAGCATTCCTTTGCTAGAACATCCTTTTAATCATACATGATGATCCCTTGTAAATGCAGCTCTTCGCCTGCTGCTCCTTGTTGCAGCTCTGCTATTACAAACATATCTCCTCCTGTGGCAAAGTACTTTTGTTCTTAGAAGATTTGTGCTTCCCCTTTGTGGGTTCAAACCGCAATTTCTAATTTTGCAAAAAATTAGAAATTCCTCAGAAGTTTGTATCTGGGGAATCTCACTAAAATCACAGAATCATAGAATTTTAGGGGGTGGAATGAACCTTACAGATCTTCTAGTCCCAACCCCCTGCCATGGGCAGTGGCAGTTTCCCAGTAGACCAGGTTGTTCAAAGCTTCCTCCAGCCTGGCTTTGAACACTGCTAGGGTTGAGGCATCCACTACTTCCCTGGGCAACCTGTGCCAGTGTTTCACCACCCTCCAGACTAGCCAAACTAAATTTCCACACCAAAATAAACCAAAAGTGAATTCCATCTCAGGAGGCAGAGGTGACTCATTTGGTAGGAGAGTGACTGGATTTTTGTGCAGGAACTTGCAGTGCTCTCAGCTGCCTGTCTTTACCCTTTCTCACCTGCCTTAGTGCAGCCACCAGCTGATGTGTCTTTACATCAATGAGTATGTAGTTCTGTGATTCCATGAATCTTTGTCTGAAGAAAGATGCTTGAGCATCGCTCTATAGTTAGATAATTTCTCATTTTTCCTTCTTAAATTTAAAACCAGAAATAACCTTTCTCTTGTACTTTCCCTCTGTTTAAACACAGAGAGCTATAGCTCTCATTCGTATTCGAGTATTTCTATCACCTGGTCCATCCGGCACAGTCACTTGCCAAGGAGAAAAGCATCAGTTGAGGAGACAAACATGTATTAGGTTTTCTTATTTCTTAAAAAATAATAAAATTATATCTTTTCTGTAGCTAAAGGGAAAGGTGGTCTGAAGAAGCACAGTACAAACAGCTGATGTAATGCCAGTACCTCTGTGATTTAAACAGAACCACAGCACTCGTGCTGAAACTGTTGTTCAATACATTGCTGATTTTAACACACAGTTTAAAGCTGATTTTGTAAATATTAAATATATGTCTAAAAGCACATCCTGCAGGATATACTGTGCTTCTGCAAATGCAGATCCAACTTAAAAGCTAAAATAATTATTGAAACCAGCATATAGCATAATGAAGTGCCCACATGGTTTTTTGCATTAGAGTAGTGCAGTGACCTGATGGGTCTGTGGTCACTGTAAGACATCTTGCTCTCTTTGAAATGTCCTGGGCCTGAAACAGAACTCCAAACTCTAGTCTGAGACCTAGTGTATAGAGAGAATGGACTTGGCCTCAAGTTGATGTGAATGTGTGATGCATGACGATGAAACAAGTAAATTTACACTTCACTCTTGTGCTTCTGTGTTTGAGAGCTGGGTATGGAAGGTGGTTCTGGCAGTAGCATTACTCGTCTTTGTGATGTATCTCTGTGCCAACTGTTGGTCACCTACTGCACTTTGGGCAGAGCAGTGGAAATGAAGGGTGAAGTGGGCAGTACCCCTCAGAGGGTATTCGAGCTCCACCACTTGAGTCAACAATATGCAGGCAGGGCCAAAAGGACTCAGAGATTACTACTGGGGTGTAAAGTTCAGTGAAGGCCACCAACCCCCCAGTGTGACTGTGAAAGACATACACACTACAGAAATTCTGTAGGCTGCTTGCATGAATGTATCTGTAGTTATACTGACATTAGACAGTCTGTAATGATTTCAGTGGTTAAATGTAAAAGTGTTTAAATGTAAAACCGTATGGAAAAAAAGAAGTTTATTTACTTTAGTAGTGCTGACCCTATCAGCTAAGTAAGACTAGTTCCCTTTTGAACAACATATGGTTTTATTAAGCTTCTTTCATGGGAAAATGCCTAGACTTTCCACTAAACCCAAGTGAATAATTGAGAATATCTAATGATACTACTGTGTGTCCTATACTTTGTGTTTTAACCATACCCCTTGAGGGGAAAACTAACACTTTGTGTTCTTTCATCAGGCTGACTTTGATGGTGCTGCAGAAGACGTAAAAAAATTAAAAACAAGGCCAACTGATGAAGAACTGAAGGAACTATATGGATTCTACAAACAGGCAACTGTTGGAGATATTAATATTGGTATTCCTATATATACTTCACATTTATTCCCATATCTTGATGAAATCAGCCTAATGTTATGTAAATCTGCATGATAACCAAAGCTATGCATTTATTTTGGCAGAATGTCCAGGAATGCTAGATTTGAAAGGCAAAGCCAAATGGGAGGCGTGGAACCTGAAAAAAGGTGTTGCACCAATTAAATTTACATCATGTAATGTTTATAGGATGACGAATGAGAAAAGATAACGACTCCTACTTTCTTTTGCAGGTTTATCAAAGGAGGATGCCATGAATGCCTACATCTCTAAAGCAAAAGCAATGGTAGAAAAATATGGGATCTAGAATACTCAAAATAATTCTCACTAATAACTAACTCTTCAGTAGCTAATGAACTAACTCTGTTGAGAAAAGTGCAATACTAACTCCTTATTGTGTAGTCTGACAGTAATATCTTTCGAGCATAAGCTGTTTGACTGTAAGGGGTATTTGTATACATACTCTATTTTTAGATTGTATCTTATTCTAAATAAATCTGAACCTAATAAATTAAGCTTTGTGTAAGAACTGTGGATTTTTTTGGGTATTAAATTATATTTAGCACTTTTACAGGAGCAGGCAAACAGAGAAGCTCTGAAAGTAAAACAACATAGCTCTGATTTTTTGAAAATGACGCTATGGAATGAGGGGAAGAGTTTGTGCACATGCGAGCTGAGAAGAGCGCAAAGATGAAAACGTTTCAGGACCCAAAGCCAATGTTTATTTTCAAAAAAGTCAGAAACCCCCCCTCTTTTAAAGGATTACAGAGGAGGAACAGAACATCTGTTAGGCATAACTGCATGCAATGTACAGGAAGAATGACTTGTTATGAAGTGTTGTGGACTAATCTTACACTTTCTGCTAGTAAAGCAGAGGGAAATGCTCATAGACCAGCATTTTCTATGCATCTTGTTATATGTTTTATCAAGAAAATTTCATTAGAAGGTTCGAGCAGATAAAAGTGACCTCCAGGAAGCTCGTAAAAGGAAGTCTCTCCACTTGTTAGTTCTTGCCAAGCTGAAAAATATATTTAAAGTGTCAGAGAAATGTCAACTATTGTGATCATTTTACATAACTATTTCAAAGTTATTATTTAATAATAATTTTAAATCCCATATCAACTGTTTGGTTCATACATTGACACTGCTTTGTTGATTTGTTTCATTTAAGAAGGAGAGAAAATATTCTAGAAGACAGTTCATTAAGTGATACAATACAAAAGGAAAATGTGTAAGAGGAAAACCATTTAAGCAAAGTACCTTGTAAATGATGCAGTGTATCCTCAGACCCATTAAAGCAGGTAATATCACATGAGAAGGGGCTATTAATTTCTGCCTTCTCAAAACTGTGAACATAAAAAGTAGTCATATAACTTCTTGTAAGATACAGTGCAGTGCAGAAATAACATCGGCCCGTTCCGGGATGAGGATGGTCACCTCACAAGCAGGGACATAGGCAAGGCAGAGATGTTTAACGTTTTCTTTGCCTCTGTCTTCAACACCGATGATGGACTAAGGGGGAACTCAGTGCCCTGAGCTGGGGAACCATGGCTGCAAGAACGATAAACTCCCAGTTGACTCTGATGTTGTGAGGGATCTGCTCCTCCAGCTGGATCCCTACAAATCTATTGGACCTCATGGGATTCACCCAAGAATACTTAAGGAGTTGGCTGAAGTCGTTATGAGGCCTCTCTCAATGATTTTTGAATGGTCTTGGGAATCTAGAGAGGTCCCACTCGGCTGGAAGCTGGCTAACGTTGTCCTGATTTTCAAAAAGGGCAGGAAGAATAACCGTAGTAACTACAGGCCTGTTCATTTCACTTCAGTCCCTGGCAAGGTTATGGAAAAGATTGTTGTGGGAGGAACTGAGAAACACCTGAAGGACAATGCTGTCATTGGACACAGCCAGCATGGCTTCATGAGGGGAAAGTCCTGCTCATCAAACCTTGTTTTCTTTTTTGACAAGGTAACCTACCTAGCTGATCAAGGGAAGCCAGCAGATACAATCTTTTTAGATTTCAGTAGAGTTTTAAATACAATCTCTCACAAGATCCTTCTGGACAAAATGTCCAGCATGTGAGCAACTGGTTCACGGGTCAGGTGCAAAGGGTCATGGTGAATGGGATTGCATCAGGCTGGTGACCAATCTCTAGTGGGTTCTGCAGGGCTCCATCTTAGGCCCAGTGCTCTTCAATATCTGCATAAATGACTTGGATGCAGGACTTGAAGGTCTATTAATCAAGTTTGCAGATGACACAAAACTTGGAGGAGTTGTTGACTTCCTTGAAGGCAGAGAGGCCTTACAGAGAGACCTTGATAAATTAGAGAGCTGGGAAAGCACCAATAGTATGAAGTTTAACAAGGGCAAGTGCCAGATTGTGCACCTGGAATGGGTCAACCCTGGCTGGATGTACAGACTGGGGAATGAGATGCTGGAAAGTAGTGCTGTGGAAAAGGACCTGGGGGTCCTTGCTGATAGCAAGTTGAATATGAGTCAGCAGTGTGCCCTGGCAGCCAGGAGGGCCAACTGTGTCCTGGGGTGCATCAGGCAAGGCATTGGAGCCAGTCAAGGGAGGTGATTGTCTCACTCTCTGCTGGTCCAGCCTCATCATATGTATTGTGTGCAGTTTTGGGCACTATAATACAAAAAGGATATAAAGCTATCAGAGAGTGTCCAAAGCAGTGCAACAAAGATGGTGAAGGGCCTTGAGGGGAAGCTATATGAGGAGCAGCTGAGGTCACTTGGTCAGTTCAGCCTGGAGAAGAGAAGACTGAGGGCAGAGCTCATTGCAGTCTACAGCTTCCTCATGAGGGGAAGTGGAGGTGCTGATCTCTCGGACTCAAGGGAATGGCCTGAATTTGTCTCAGGGTAGGTTTAGGTTACATATTAGAAAGAGATTCTTCACTCAGAGGGTGGTTGGGCACTAGAACAGCTCCCCAGGGAAGTTGTCACAGCACCAAGTATGACGAAGTTCAAGAAGCATTTGGACAATGCTCTCAGGCACATGGTGTGATTTTCAGGGATGCCCTGCACAGGGCCAGGAGCTGGACTCTATGATCCTCATGGGTCCCTCCCAGCTGTGAATATTCTGTGATACCTATATTTGGAATTTGCTTCCAGATACAAAATTGCTGTTTTGTTCTCCTCTGAAACCTAACAAACTTCAGGCATTAAATTATGCAGAACATCAGGAGAAGAAAACACTCCATCTGGAAGATTCTTAACTCTTTACCCTACTTCAATTAGGTACAAAATTGTAAAGAAAGAATGATCCAGTAGTTAGAGAAAAAAAAAGAGCTTCAATCTGCAATAAAAATTATTGCCTACAATAAATAATTATGTTACCTACTTATATTCAAATTCTAATGTTTCAGGGCCTTTCAGTATCAGATTCTTAAGCCTAAATTGGGTCCCACATCCAACAATGTCCTTGTCTTTGCCAAGGTAAGAAAGCTAACCACTCATCCATGTTAGCTGTCTTGTAACATCCAGTAGGGACAGCACTTAGGACAGAAGAACCTGGTTGCTCTCTAGGTGCCCAGAACACAGGGATTCTTTGCTTCTGGTTAGGCTAGGGGACCCTGCATCAGGAGTCTGAATGCAGTGATCCTGAAGCATGATCAGCTGAGATTATTAGCCTCAGAAAACAATAAAAGATGAAAAAATATTCTCTTTTAGTGGCTACTAACTTTGGATCCTGACTAGAACTGTAATTCTACCATGACATGTTCACTACTGCAGCAAGAGTTGTGGTTCTACAGTAAACAGTGTTTTCATCTAGGGCATAAATATGAGAAAATAATGGAAAAGCAGACAAAAGAGAAAACTATGTTTACTCTTTCATATTGTTTGTATAACAGAAATAAGAACAAATTACAAGGAAAGAAAAAAGAAAATCTGACATGATCAGGCAGAAGTAAAAATGTAAAATGCAAATATAATACAAAATTGTAAAACTTACGAAAATGTCTGAAGAACTCTAAAGTCTTCTCTTACAGTACGCACTACATCTTTCTTAAGGTCTTCTCTGCACAGAAGCTCAGCAGGAGTTCCTCCTAAAGTCTGTATATAAGCAATAATTTCTTCATCGTCTGCATCCATGACAGATCTTCTTCTGAAGTTAACAAGTCCTTCAGGCTGCCAGCACAAGACAAAACAGATCAGGTGTTATGCATATTTAAAATAATCTTTTCATTAAAACTTATTTTAGTAAAAAAAGTACAATAATTCTCCGTCTCCAAAATACAATGGCTGAGTAGTTTACCATCCACAGAGAACAATTCCTGGAAAGGGTTAGTAGACTGTGTTTGCCGAAATTACAAATTATGAGTGAGCCAAGTACCCTCGAGGTCTGAAACTTCCACAGACAAATAACAACTGATTTAATTTTGTTTAAGGTTCAACTCTTACTATTGAAATGCAACTAATAAAATAATCTATTTAAGAGAAAGAAAAGCCTAGCAGTGCGTGCAAATATGACTAACAGGGGACTGAAGAGACCGACTGATTTTGGAAATTTGCAGGAATAACAATTGCATCCATGAAGCACTAGCTTATACTCGGGATTGCTAAGAAGCCCCAGAAACAGAAGGCTGGAAATAGCAAATGCTGACTGAGGACAGGAGGACTGAGAAAAAGCTGCTTCACTGCTGTTTTCCTGAAGAAAAATAACAGAACCTCCGAAGAAACTGATTCAAAATTCAACAAAGAATGAGGAGGGAAAGAAATAAATGGACAAATATACTGAGGGCTGATGCAGGAAGTTTATGAAAGACTAGGCTCAGATGGTCATTTCACATGTTACAGAATAGGGAGGGCTACTTAATATTTTGTTTAGTTTTTAGTTTGAAGCCGAAGGCCATATTAAATAACAGTTTTCAAATAAGCTAGCTTAAGAAGACTGTCTGCCTAGGCTGAGATTAGCAGCAGTGAATCTTGTGTAATACAAAAGTCTGCCTCCACCTCAGAATTAATTTCCTCTAAGAAAACAGAACACTTTGTGCATAGGTTCTAAAGCAATGCGTATTGTGTATTAAAACTACTTTGCATAACATACTGTAAAATGTTATTTTTTACTCTCGCTATCTAAAGTACCGTTTTGTTTCATACTGTTAATAATTCTGTAACTTACAGTTGGGGCATGTGCCGCTGACAGAAAAAGATGGAACGGCTCTAGTCCATACTTTTCTTTCAAATGTAGTGCGACTGCAAAACTCAGGTAAGATCCAAAACTGCAGCAAAAAGAGAAATTAAAGCAAAGTAAGCAAAAACATACATAAACCCTGGAGAATTTAACCATAATTTTAACTTCAGTGCTAACTGGCTATCTTGAACAGTTACTGAATATATATATGACATTTAAATTATGATATTAGCTAATAATCATGAAGAGTATTCCTACACAGTCTAGTTTTACAAATCAGACATTTTTTTAGTCTTTCTTTTAGTAGTCTCCTTAATTTGCAATGGGAACAGTTGGGACTAAGCAATCTTCAAAATCTATGTGTTTCATGCCTGGCTCACCCCCTGCATTCATGCAAGGCAAGCACTGACACAAATATTCACAATAAGAACAATTATCATTTACCAGAAGCACAACATGTTCAGATGTAGTGCCTGAAGCAATTAATAAATAACCAGAGTCTTTGAGAGCAGCAGGATGTTTTAGGATGACTTGACAAAAGATCTTGGAGAAGTATATTTTCCTAAAGTTTTTGCAAATAAAAGCAAGTAACTATCTACTCCAACAATTCAAATAGAAAAGCTCCTTCACCAGGCTGTCTAAAAATGTACCTGTGACCAAAAAATGCAAATGGTTTTGCTTGCAATTCTTTTAACAAAACACTTGCAATTTCTTTAGCCATGCTTGTCATGTCCTTTGCAAAAGGATCCTTAGAACGAGTTTCTCTTCCAGGAAACCTTACACAGAACACTGCAGAAGAGGTGGAGGAAGGGAGAGAAGAGAATAACTTTAATTACTTTTTTTAAGCATGATGCAGAATATATAGATTGTCTAAATTAAACCTTCTTGCTGTTGATACAGGGTATTTGCTATTGCTACCACTGTCCTTTAATCCTGTGAGAGATTAGGTTTCTCACATATGTTACCTTTCCCGTTGATCTGACTGTTAAATGCCTTGGGTCAGAATCCACAAGGTCCTGCTTTCAGCTGAGGTTTGAAAGGAATTTTATTACAGTAAGTATTAATAACAACCACAAATTCATTAATTTCAGTAAGTTTGAGGATTTTGTAAAATATACCCTTTCAAAGGCAGCATTACAAAATTATACTGTATTAGAATTGTACCATCCCTCTTTTCTTCTTTGTAGGCTTTTCAGCACTGCACATAGTAAAACGTGGGATCACAGTACAAACAGATGGCTATTCATGTTTATATTTACCTGGGAGGACATTTTACATGCTTTTATTTTATTTCTTTCAAAATTGGGTGTTTTTCTCTCACTGTTAAGAGAAAGTAAGGAATTAATAGATAGAAAAAAATGTTGATTTTCTAAAATCTCCTTGACATTACACATACTGCCAAACTCATGTGGAAGTAATGGGTCAGACACAAAGGATTTTAGAAGAGATAGGATAAACCACTGTCCAATACCAGAGACAGCAGTACAGAAATGTTTGCATCTTCTATACTTCCTTTCTGCAGAAACCATCTCTGAAAGAGCATGCTGCACCTTGATTTTATTCACCTGTGTCTGCAATTGCTTGTAGGCCATTTCCAGTAGTTCCAGTGAACAAAACCTGATTTCTTTTTGGTTGGTTTGTTGGGGGTTTTTCTACCCCAGTTTCAAGGAAAACTTGATGCAACTTGTGCAACTGCTTACCAGAAAGCATACAAGTGTTTAGAGGACTGGTACAACTGCAATGGCAATGCTCTCTATAAATATGCAATTTTTTTTTTCATTGTGGAAGGTCTGGAAAATGGCCTTGGTTCCTCTTAAAATAGTTCGAGAAATGGATCTTTTTAGTGCTGGTATAGCCTGAGAGAAATGAGAATTACTTCATAGTGTAACTAAATGTCATTCCACTGTTATAAATCCATAGTTTAAACTTCAGTTTTGATACAAGGAGTGCAAAGCCATGAGAACACTGGCTAACAGATACTCTGTGCAGCCTCTCAACATTAAACATAGTTCTCATATCTTCACTGTTAACCTTACTGATGACTGGCATAATAAGAATGTGCCAGTGTATCCCTGTTTCTGAATCATACCAATAGTATCTGAACCAGTCAAGCATACTGTACTCTTGTGAAATTTAGCTCTCAGGATGTAACTTTCTCACCTAGTCAAATATAATTTGATCCAAAGTGGTATGGAAACTTAGTGAGCTCAGCACCTTAATGGAAATGCTAGCTCCTGATGCATGCTAATTCCTTTCTTCCTGGAGAAGACCCATTGGATAAAGATCGCAGTGCTGTCAAGAATATTATGTTCCATTAAAAAAATTGGCTACTGTGTGTTTCAGACTTGCTTAACTTCTGCTTTAACTACGAACATGACTAACCTTCAACTGAGTTGCTGAAGTGACTGCTCCATCGAGCAAGGTGAGAAGTTCCACCTCCAGCCCACGGAAAGCAAATCAGTCTACAGAGAGCATTTGGGCTTTTTTGTTGACAAGCAATCAGCTTCTCCATTCCTAAATAAAAATCCCAAGAAAACAAGTCATTCTAGAGCAAGTCTCTTCAGATGTAGTGAAATTAGAGTTAATTAAGACTAAATTGAAAGAACAGGCTTCAATATTTTCTGTCATCAGAACTGCTTGTACTGTAACAACAATCTACTAGAATGAGGTAATCTTCCTGCCACAGTGTAAATCCGTTCTGCTTTTATAAAGGATGGTGGAATAATATTGGGCAATACCCTCGGTTAGTATTTTCTCAGTCACTGACCACAACAAACATAACAAGCAGCGAAATCAACTGACAAGGGATCACAGGATGATCATCTAAAATCACAGGCTTTTAGAACATGCACAAAATATAAGGTCCATCTAAAGACCTAGAAAATATAAATTCAATATTCCCTCTACCACTGTGGTAAAATAGGTGTTCAGGGAAAAGCAAGATGCAGTTTCTTTTTATATAGGAAAGATCTATGAATTTTTCTTTCAAGTATTTTTCCAGTCTCATCTTAAATTCCTGTGAACACTTGGCATCTACAACATCCTCTTGCAATGAGTCACAGCTCTACTCTCAGATGCGTAATGATGTTCTTTTCTGGTTTTAATCTGGCACCTATAATTTCATTTGATGGACACAGGGCAGTATGGTAAAGACAGTGAATAGTGCATCTCTCAGGGTTTGCCACTGAGCATTTCTGAGGTCTTCTGCAATATTGTCTCTGCTCTCAGGTTGCCATGTTTTCCTGAATGAAAAGGCCTGGCTTGCTAAAGTATTCCTCATATGACAGTGCTTCCATACTCATGACCACCATCACTGCTCACCTTTGGAATTCTAATTTTGTTATATTCTTTTGAGGCAATGGAGTAACCAGAGCCAAATTCAGCTTTATCACAGCAGCTTTAGTATTTTTTTTTAGTGACTGATAGAAGTGACAGCTGAGTCAAGATTTATAACTACTCCTTCCTTCTTGCTGAGAAGGAAAAAGAGCATTGAAGATGCCAAGTGCATTGTCTCTAGCATCAGATAGTGACTTTACTATCTGAAGAAAAAAGCAATTCTTGACCATTTTTATTCTTCTTCCCCAATTTTCTTGTCTTTTATTCTTGCTGATTAGATGATTGGATGTAAGCACTGAAGTGATGTCCTGCTACCGATAGCACATCAGGCTGTGTTCTGTCAAAAGAAACTGGGAACACCATGTGCAACAGAAATACCTAGTAAAGATAAGTTCATGATAAATATAGTGATACAGAATTTTTATAAAATATTTTCTGAAAGCATTACAATAAACTCCCATGTTCTTGTTAAAAAGATTGAAAAAATAGCAATTAGGGTATAGCAAGCATCAGAATTCCCATTCCAAAATGCTGCAGGTCATTAAGGGTATTGAATATAGCTCAGTATATGCAAGGGATAATTCACCATAAAGCACACCTGTAAGCTTACGTACAGTCTTTTTTACCTGCACAAAAGTTTGAGAAATGCAACCAGGTCAGAATAGGAAACAACTCCGTCTTATTTTAAAACCTTATAACACAAACAAGACAGAAGAAAACAGACCCAAATGTTGCTGTGGCAGTTTCTTGATTTTTGTATATGTTTAAAGTTTGTCAGTATTTGTTGAGAATCACTTTAAAAAAAAACAATAAGAAGAGCAAGCAAAAAAAAAAAGTGTATTAAAAATCACTGGACAGACAATATGAGCTTAAAAGTAGATGAAGGATAGTGGCACCAATGCTGCAGAAGATATAATTCCTCTGGTGTAGCTTCAGTACAATTAGCTCCATTTACAGTCACTTCTTCCACAAAAAGACACAAAATCTCAAGTACTTCTGAAGCCAATATTTTGACAGTCAAGTAGCAAAAGAAAAACAACTTCGCAAACTATTCCAAAGGTGATACAAAAATTTCAAACATGATAAAGAAGGACGTTTAGTCAAAGTCCTTAAATTATTGAAAGATACATTACCAGTCACTGAGAATCTTTCACACTTTATGCTCATACAGGCTTATTCCATCACCATCCAGCTGACTTTAGATACAAATACCTGAACAGTATGGGGAAGACCACCAGTTGGGAAGACCACCAGTACCAGAAAATAACAGCCCAAGGGTGGATCCACTTCTCAGCACTGCACAGCAAGAAGCTGCACAGTCACCTGCTTTTAAGTTTTACCTAGGCTTAAGGGGAGGAGCCTGCATCTCAGAAAAAAGGCAGAACTGAGGCACACAGCATCCCAGAAGGGAGACAGAAACATCACGTGTTAGACATAACACAGCATTTGGCAGGTAGATAAGGAAAGCACACTGTATTAATCCCAGTGATTTAAAAAGCACAGGTTAGCATTCCCATGATAGTACAGAAGTTTTAATACATGGAGATCCACAACCTCACTAATGAAAATGCCTGCATAAAAAGAAAACCCAGCCCTTTGTAAGAACTATGTCCAAAATTACAGCACTCACACCTCTGCTGGAGAGTTTTGTAGCGGTCTGAAAATGCTAATAACCTGATTTGATTAAAATGGTACATTTGGTTTGTAGGCCAGCTGTAATTTCTGCAAGTTGGAAGACATAGCAGTGCATGAACTACACACTATGGTAGCATGATGATTTCAAGTTAGCTACCATGTAATGCTCCTGATGACCAGATGATATCAGTAACCTAAGACCAGGAGTGTATTTTGTAGCCACATTTGTAGTACTCAGAAGCTTGGCTTTCCCCTCCTTTTTCTTTTCAGTGTTACTCTACCAAGAATATCACTAATAATAATAAAAATACTCACAAGCAGTGACAAAAGTTAAGGAACCAGAGTGCCAAAATAGTTCTCATGCTTGAGACATGTAAGCTGGACTACTTGTGGTTTTCACACTGTTCTTCATTTTTTGACATTTCTCTTCATCATTTCTAGGACACTGAAAAATCTATGGTGTTCAGAGCAAAACCTACCTGTTGACCAGCCAGTCAGCATACACCGCTCCTTTCCCAAATGAGGTCTGCAGTCTTCTACTCACTTCTGATTTCTGCTTTCCTGTGGAACCCTAAATCAACCCTTCTGGCTGCAGGCTCCGCAGTGAGGGCTGGCCCTGGGCCCTGCAACTGCCACTTCCAAATGGCTGAAGTGAAAATGGCAAAAATACTCACAGTACTTTTATGTCATAACGGTTATGAAATATGATGAGGCACACCTATGTTTTGAAGGTGCATGATTTAAAGCAGCTTATATTGGCTAGTCCCAGCCTGAGCTGCTGTGCCTCATACTGCTTCTCCACGTGATGTATCTGCTACCTGAGGGATATGATTATAAGGTACAATTTGTAATAAAGCACCTAATGCACTTTACTTATTCTACCTCAAATTGTGCCAACAGTAAAATCTGACAATCAAGGCTAATGTTATGAAAGCCAGCTGTTATAAACATCAGACCCGCTAATAATATTCCTGTAAGTAATAAAATACTACTGTAAACAATTATTTCCTAACTAAGGCTGAAAACAAATGAGGTTAAGAACAAGATTTTGAAAGTACAGCATTAATCAAATAGCAGGCTATTTCATTAAAAATAATGAAATTATCACGGAATCATAGATTCAAAGAATTTTAGGGCTTGGAATGGACCTTATAGATCATCTAGTCCCAACACCCCCTGCCATGGGCAGAGACACCTCCCACTAGACCAGGTTGCTCAGTTATGAATTGTATGTGTTATTTGTTTTGGTTTGCCCTCTAATTATTTTCTTGGTGTCAAAGGACTAGAAATTTATTGCTTTTCATATAAAAGAAAATTAAATTCTTAAATTAAGTAGTTCCAGGATATGTCACTCTCAACCAAAATTTATGCTTGCCATTTTCAGGGCCAAAGGTAAATAAGGGTTTCACAGAACCGACTTGTCAACTCAGCACTAGTATACAGACTTGACTGGACTAGACGATTTCAGTTGGAAGGGATTTACAAGGGTTACCTAATCTAACTGCCTGACAAATTCAGGGCTGACCAAGTTAGAGTGTTATTAGGGATTGTTCAAATGCCCCTTAAACACTGACAGTTTGGGGGCATCAACCGGCTCTGAAGGAAGCCTATCCAATTTGAACCTTGCCTGGCACACCTTTGAACCATTTCCACATGTCCTGTCACTGGATAGCAGGGACCAGAGCTCAGTGCCTCCCTCTCCACTTCTCCTCCTCTGGAAGCTGTAGAGAGCAATGATGTTGCCCCTCAGCCTCCTTTTCTCCAAACTAGACAAGCCCGAAGTCCTTAGCTGCTCCTCATTCCTTCCAGCTCTTTGGCTTTGTTGCCTTCCCCTGGATGCATTCAGGGACTTTCATGTCATTCTTAAATTGTGGGGCACTGAACTGCACACAGAGCTCCAGCTGAGGCCACACCATTGCTGAATACGGCAAGATAACCACCTCTTTTCGCCAGCTGGTGATGTTGTGTTTGATGAACCCCAAGATGTGGTTTGCTCTCATGGCTGACTAGGCACATTGCTGACTCGTGCTGAGCTTGCTGGCAGCCAGCAGCTCTAGGTCCCTTTCTGCAGGGCTGTCCTGCAGCCACTCCTCTCTCAATTTATACTTGTGCCTGGCATTACTCATCCCAGGTTCAGAATCCACCAGTTTGGCTTGTTACATTTCATCCTGTTAGCCATAGCCTAACTCCAGTCTATCTAGATTCTTCTACAAGGCCTCTTGTACCTCAGGAGAGTCAACAGCACCTCTCAGTTTGGTATCATCTGCAAATTTGCTAGTGGTGCATTCCACTCCTGCATCAAGATTGTTGATAAATAACTGAACAGAACTGCAACTAGAATTGAATTCTGAAGAACAGCGCTGGGGATTTCCTGCAGCCAGGTATAGCCCCATTCAGTACAACCCTTTGAGCTTTGCCCTTCAGCCAGTTCTTCACCCAGTGCACCATGAATCCACTCCTCCCACAGTTGGACAGTTTGTTTAGATGGATGCTTTGAGGGACAGTATCAAAAGTCAAAAAGAAAATCCTTAAAGATTACAT